AGAATTGCAAATTCTTAGATTTTCTAGAACGGGTAGCTATGATCCAGAAGAATTCCAAATTCTTAGCTTTCTAGATTATTCTAGAATAAGTTAGAGGTTCCAAGATAATCCGCAAATTTTCTACAAGATTCTCAATAGTTACAAGACAAGATTGATCAAGTTTAACCCACAAAATCAGTACACAAAAGAGTCAACAAATATCAGGAGTTTTCAATTTTCTATCAAAAAGGTGCATTGTGGAGTTTGGCAAAACAGTGGCAATCAAATCCTGCCAATTTGTAGCTTTGAGCAAAATCTTAAATGTTTTATTTTTTAAGGATAATTCTGATTTTTTATGCGTATTTTCTTGTTCTGGCATTAATTAACTGCTTTTTGTTGAATTAGCTTCCCATCTACAAGTAATTTTGAACTTTGGATGTTTCTTGATTGTTATTTGAATCTTTATAAATAGAGACCAAATAAAATTGGAAAGAGACAAAGGGAATTGAATGAAAATTGATTATTTTTACCCCAAAATCTCTCTCCTTCTTACCAGTTTGCCCCCTAAGCACAAGGAAACCAAAACCTTCGGCCACTCTATCTCTCCATCTATTTTCTATCTACACAAGTCAGTTAGAATAAAAAAACCAGTCTTCCTGCACCAGTAGCAGTTGTGGGACAACACTCAAAAGGAAAGAGTTGTTCCTGTTCCTCCTTGATTTGTTGTTTAATAGCACTATTAGTGAAATTCAAAGGAGGGGGAGAAAGGTGAAAACACAAGCAAAATGCAATGAAAAGCCAAAGGAACTCTTGGCCAATAAAGGAGAAAGGTCTTGGTGAAGGTTTCCAAGAAACAAAATAGGTCTCATTATGTTATTATGATAGCATGCTTTTCAAATTGCTCACCAAATTAAAATCTATTTTATGTGTTTGCCAATTTTCATTTGCGTGGATTGTTGGTCAATAATGTTGGGCCTTTCCATTTCATTAGTAGATCCACCTGGTCGGATACCCTAGAAGTATTGAAAAACCTTATGTGATCTCCTTATATTATTTTGCATGGTTTTGGATTGGGAAAGACAGATCCCACAACTCTAGTGTAAGTGACACATTTAGTCACCAAACATCCAAAAGCTCCCTCACATAAACATGGAAGGTCTTGATCACCAACTCTATCCAACATAGTTCTGGATCAAGCAATACTTTTAATATGCCCATAATGTGGACCAATGATTTTTTTTAAACTGTATTTATTTATCAGAAAATTAGATAGTACTTTCATGTCATCCCTATAGAGGGATTGGCAAGGAAGAAGTGAAACTATCCTTCTATGCCAAGAAAGACATATCCGTATCCTGCATGAGGCATTGAAGTTGTGTGTGGACCAATACTAAGTAAGGAAAAGCAAATGTTGGTGAAGTGCAGAGCACCTAAGCAGAGAAACACTTGCCACCATGAAAAAAAAGGATAATATGGCTGCCTTGTTGATAAATGTTAGTTATGTCAAATAGTAGTTATCAAAAGAAACAAGCAAAGAGAAAGAAAAAAGAGAGAGGATAGACCAAAGCTTCATACTCAATTTCTGCTGAGGAACGAGTGATAATGGGTTGCTTCTTAATGTTACATGAGACTATAGTATTTGCTAGGTAAGAGTAGTGCCCAAGCTTGGATTTTATGGCTTAAGCATCACTCACCCAATCAAAGACCATGTAGGAATGTTACACACAAGTTCACCCCACTAGACATGTATGGCATAATTTGCATTTCATTTGATGCATCGATGGAGATGTTTAAGAAGCTAGAAGTGATTGTTATGATTAGCATGTATATGTTGGCAAAGGAGGTAGAAGGCAAAGGAGATGTTGGGGTCAGTGACGATGAGGTATTGAAGAGAATCTATGAGGTTACTCTGAGGTATTGAAGAGAATCCATGAGCATTGCCTTGTTATCCAACATGCACAATTTTTGAGAAATTTTCTTAAAATACTCTTCTTGGTAGAGGAAATAGCTTGTGAGTATGCTAGTTACTTGCATACAGAGGAAAAAAGGATATTTGGCAAAAGGTTCATGTGAACATTTTGTGTAGATTTTGGAAAAAAGAAGAGATCATTGATTTATCATTTCCTATAAGAGATCATCAACATAGACGAGTAGGTAGATGTGAATATTGTTGTGGGATAGGTAAGGAGAGAGGTCACCTGAGTTGTTTTAAAACCTTTTTAAAAGTGTCCATTGAAATCCGAATACCATTGACATGGATATTGTTTTAAGCTGTAGATAGCTTTTTGTATTAGACATACATGTGTGGATTTTGTGGATTACAAAAACCAAGAGGTTGTGTCATGTAAACCATCTCCTTTAGTTACCTATAGAGGAAAGCATAAGACACATCCAACTAAAAAATGTCCCAATTGTAAAGGGGAGTGGTCATGAGTGAAGATTCTAATAGTGAGCATTTTGGTGAAAGGGTTTACTATTTTGTTGTAATCAATGACATGTTCCTAATTAAAGCCATGAGTACTGAGTTAAGCATTGAACTAGCCAACTAGGATATAGAACCATCTAGATGATATATGGTCTTTAAGGTTCATCAATAGCTAAGAAGTTTTTGAAGTGGTGGTAGAGAAACAAGTCTCTAAAGTTTTGCTTGGAATAGTTTTTTTTTACTGCTTTCTAAAGCAGCTTTTTAGTACAAAATTTCATGAAAGAAGTGAAAAAGCAATGCTTAAAAGCTATCCCATATGAAGCCTAAGTTACATGTAGTTACATATTAAGTTACATGTAGTTACATATTATCAAACATTTAAGGCATGGCTTGACGTCAAGGAGCATGGCAAATAACTTGAGGATAACCCTTGGGTTCTAATGCATTGTACGAGCATGATGAAGATTTAAAATGTGACATGGCTTGAGGGAACCTATTATTAACCTTAGGAGTAAGGGATGGTTATTGATAGTGAGGGTGGAGGTAGTTGAGAGGCAGATACAAGACTACTTGAAGTGGGGAAGTTGACCAACAAAATGATGGGAAGAGGTGTAGAGTTGGGAGGAGTGATGGAGGAAGGGATTCATTCAGATGGAGCAGAAATTGGAGCAGAGAAATATGGATGTGGCAATAGACTGAAGGAGGGAATGAGGATAAGGAGTGGGGGATTGGTTGATGGCATTGACGAGATAATTGGTTTATTTTATCGGTAGTAGGAGAAGATGGTTTCATTTACAACGGCATGCCAAGAGATTGTGGTTTTGCCAAATGTAGGGTGAAGACATTTGGCATTTAAGAATGTTTAAGTGTTATTAGTTGCCTCTGTTTTGTCCCTCTGTTTTTTCGAAACATGGCAAAGTTGTGTCATCTGCCTTGTCCACAAGAGAAGGTTATTGGACACAATTGTTGGAGGTCATATGGGCAATAGGAGAGACAAGTTTATCATTTCTTGGTGGAGACATTGACAAAGTGGACTTTCTCACTATATCGAAGATAATTGAGATCATTGAAGCTTATTAGAGAAAATTTTACTCAAATGATTCTTATGAAAGCTTGGTACAAGGGACGGGCTATTGAGAATGTAGAGGATGATACCCTCGTTGTCAATTTAAGAACCAATAGTAGCAACTTGACCGATTAAGGATATGACTTTCATTCGATATTGTGTCATTGTCTGATTCTTCATTGAGATAATGGCGCTTGTTCTTTAGTTTGATGATGCATGATAGATTGGTGTATAAGCAGCATTCGATCGTACCAAATTTTAGAACATGAGTACATATTCAAAATGCAATGAAGAATTGAAATGGTAACAATAAAGTAGAGCGGTGAATATATGTTTTGGTCTATCAACAACCATGTTTTGTAAAGAGGCTTGAGAGAGAGTGAATGTCAGAGCCATCTAGCAATCTGTCAGATCCATTAGCTCTTAATATTTTGAGTATTTGAGATCACGTGAAATAGTTGTCACTTTTCAATTAAATGTTGCTGATTTGTTCCATGTGTGACATCAAGAATTTGAGAGGAGGAATGGTGTCTTTGTTCATCGTGTAGTAGTTGGAAGTTTCATTAGTGAAGGAGAATCATAATTGCTCCATGGGTTTTGTAGGGATGAGAGAACTGGAAAATCTGCTAGGCAAAGTCTCTGATACCATAAAGATAAATGTAAAAGCATACAGTATAAGCTAAAGTAACTGATAGAATAGGAAGAACGGACAGGAAATCCAGTATAGTACTAAGTATATATATGGAATGTAATTCTAACGTTAGATCTTAGCACATAACTACATAATTTATTTTGCTTAGAAGGCCAGGATTGCTTGAGTAGCTTTCTGTAGATGAATTGGCACAAGTGGAGGCTGCTCCGGTAGCTGTGATTGGCAGAGTTTGTTACAGATGTTATTACAGATACTGTAGAAGAGTCCAAAATTTCTGGATAGTACAGAAATTGCAGGGTGGTTTAGTCACAGACTCCTAAGGCTCGTCACCATTATGACTCCACACTGAAGAAAACATTACCGGCTAAAACAAACTTTATGAGGTCTGGCAGCTACAAATATTCCCAGACAAACAAACAATCTTGCAACCCTGTAAGAACTAAACCTGCACCATGTTTTCGGCGCTTTTTTGTAAAAGGACACAGCACCGTGACGTTGAATAAAAACAAGCGCCTTGTTTTCACCTTATATTTCATTGTCAGCCCCTTCAAAATCAAAAGGCATATAGGGCAGACAAAAGCTAACGAGCCTATAAGACAAAAAAAAAACCACAAAAGCAGTTTCGAGCAACCAGACTTGTCATCAACCAAATGAAGGAAGTGTCATTTTCATCTCCCTTGTACGATATGCGATAGCGAACAGAAGTATGTAAAAACCTCGTTGCGGTTAAGAGTTTAGGATTTATTTTCGCCTATTGCAAGACGAAGCACTAAGAAGACTCGAAAATCACTAACGTAGGAATAAAGCTTTATGTGCAGCAATCCAATACTCGCACAGAAAAGAAAAGGCCAAAGGGGACGGGATTGTAGGGAACTCACCTTCCAGCTTTATCTTCTCATTGAGATTGTTGATATAGATTGTCATGTTGGTTGAAATGGCCAGTGTTTCGCCTCCGCTGGTTGCGATGCTCATCCTGCCTGCCGGCCGTAGAACGAGAGAGAGAGAGAGAGAGCGCGCGCGAGCGAGCGAGAGGGCGTGGTGGGGGAACCGGACGAGCGGTGCGGCTGGAATGTTGCCGGGCTTTTTTTTGGGAGGGGGGAGAGCAAATTATTGGGTCAGGTGATCGAACGCAGAGATAGATCCAGATATTAATAAAATATTATTTTAAAATTAGCATAACTAAAGCGCAGGTAAAGCGCAACTAAAGCGCAAGTCAAAAAGCTCAACTAAAGCGCAACCAAAGCGCAACTAGGATATAGATGTTTTTATCGGCCTAATGTTAGAGAGGCTTTAAAGAAAATGAAGTGTTGAAAAGCTGTTGGACCTGATGATATCCCAATAGAGGTGTGGAAATGCTTAGGAGATGAAGGAATTTCTTGGCTTACTAAACTTTTTAATACTATTTTGAAGTCTAAAAAGATGTCAGATGAGTGGAGAATGAGTGTGTTAATTCATATTTTTAAGAAAAAAGGTGATGCACAAGATTGTGCAAATTATAGAGGAATTAGGTTAATGTGTCATACTTTAAAACTATGGGAGCAAGTTATGGAACGTAGGTTGCGGCGTGATACTAATGTTTCTCAAAATCAATTTGGATTCATGCCGATTAGGTCTACTATGAAAGCCATACATTTATTTATAGATTTTATGGATAAATATAAAGAGAATAAGGAGGATCTACATATGATACTTATTGATTTAGAGAAAGCATTTGATAAAGTTTCAAGAAAAGTGATATAAAGAGTTCTTGAAAAGAAAGGAGTTAATAACACTTATATATATTCAAATAATTAAAGATATGTATGCATTATCTATTACTTGTCTTCAAACACAAAGTGGTTTGACGAAGTATTTTTTCTATTTCAGTTAGATTACATCAAAGATCAGTCTTAAGCCCATATCTTTATGCTTTAATCATGGATGTTCTCACTAGACATTTGCAAGAGGTTGTACCTTGGTGTATGCTTTTTGCAGATGATATTCTTCTTGTTGATAAGACTAGAAGGGAGTTGAAGGTAAACTTGAATTATGGAGGTAAACCTTAGAGTCTAAAGGTTTTTGCTTAAGTAGATCTAAAACTGAATATATGAAGTGTAATTTTAGTAGTAATAGACCTGGTGAGGGGATTGTGACTTTAGGCGATCAAGTCATTAATAAGAGTACACATTTTAGATATCTTGGATTTATTATTTAGAGTGATGGTGAAATAGATGAGGGTATTATCAACAAAATTCAAGTGGAATGGTTGAAGTGGATGAATGCATCGAGCTTGTTGTATGATAGAAAATTCCCCCTCAAACTTAAGAGGAAATTCTATAAGATGGGGTGAGACCTATAATGCTTTATGGTGTCGAATGATGTCCATTAAAAATGAAGCATAATACTAAGTTAAGTGTAGTAGAGATGAGGATGCTCAGGTGGATGAGTGGCTTTACCCTTAGAGATAGGATACTAAATGAGCTTATACATGAAATGGTTGGAGTAGCTCTTGTGGAAGATAAAATTACAGAGAGTAGCCTTTGATGTTTTGGTCACATAAAATGACGGCCTTCTGATGACCAGGGTTTCGAAAGTAGAGGTATTAGATTTGACTTATGTTAAGAAAGGTAGAGGTAGACCTAAAATCTTGGTTAGAAAATATTTAAAATGATCTTTCTTTATTAGATTTAAACGAGAATTGGGATTTTAATAGGTCACAATGGAGAAAAAGGATTCATGTAGGCGACCCCACGTATTGGGACAAAGACTTGATGATTTTGTTGTTGTTTGTATGTATAATATTTTTAGTAGGATGCTGAAGTATCTAGTATAATATATTCTTTTTATTAAGGATTGTCGTTGGTTGGTAAATTCGTGGTGGTAGAGTGAAAGAGTTTTACATTATAATGGTACATGAATATCCAACGTACAAATGGCAAAATGAGAGAGCTTGGGAAAACTAAATATTTTTTATAAGAAAAATCTAAAAGAGTAAAACTATGAGGCCTCACCTAGGCAAAGAGATCATAATATGTGTGAGTGTGAATTACAAATGTTGGCACATCATCTATCTTGGAGATGGTTAAATTACATGAGTTTGGGGAATAAGTGAAAATAGTTATAGCCTTGTTAGGACATTGGGAGTATAATAGAGAAAGTTAGTTGACAAAAAACAAAAGTCTATGATTATGCAATGGTCATTCAATGAAAACCTAATTGGGATGGTAGACAAGTGGGCAGGTGAATGTCCGACAACTATCGATTAAGATTATAGTGATGGTCCAATATTGATAAATCAAATAAAAGTTTAGTAGTGGTCAGTCAGGCGGAGGTCCAAGTGTTGTGTCTTGGAAGAGGTCCAGAGGTTAACTATTGAGAAGCAGTCTAGCGATGGCGACTAGGCATAGGTACATCAATCAATTATTAGGTAGAGGTCTAGTGGCATTTGGTCTAGTGGAAGTTTAGTAGTAGTGAACGACCGACAAAGGTTTGTTGGTAGTGGTGCTCAGTTGGAGCTCTGGGATTCTTAAAACCTTAGAGATCTCTTCAATCTCTAACTAAAGGTCCCCTTCATATAAGGAGTGGGAGCCTATTTAAAATTTTTTTGGAGTGGCATTCTCATAAATATAATAAAAAATTAGAGCATTCAATTGGACAATCTATATTGATTCTCTCGACCATAGATCATTTGTAGCATTCAAGTGTTTAAATGATATTGAAACTAAGTGATCATGTGCTTATTGAATTAATCTTTTTAAGCAACTAGAGTAACCTATAAGCTTGCTAAATTTAAAGATTTTATGGTTATTCAATTAATATTATGAAGTTTTTAACTATGCTTCAGATCTTTACTTATGCTTGGATTGGATCAATTTTGGTGTTATTAGATTCATCCTATTAAGATATTTATTTCGACTTTATATTTACTGAAATTGGAATCCAATCGGTCCTAGATTTAATTTTAAAACTTTCTTATTCAAATATGTCTCAAGATTCTGATGGGGGTTGCTATGGAATGCAATTTTATATTATAATAAATATTTAAGACTCTATCTCCCTAAATAATGCTTAAGTTTTATTTGATATATAAAAATAAAAAAACCCCCACTTAATATGCACAAGTGTACATGACAAATCAAGTAACAAAGTGATAGAGTAGAGTCTAAAAACCATAAGGAAGTATACTTTTCAATAATAAATTATTATTGTTTACTTTAATTATAAAATTATCCTCCTAAAATAAAAGTGTTAGTTGTGGAGATTCAATCAATACATAAAAATAGTAAAATAATAGATACAATATTTAAATAAAGTATTTTTGATTGATGAATGTAAATTATATATCATTCCTAATGAAATTCTTATCTTTAAATTGATTCAGAGCATTTGCATCCCTAGATCTATATTTAGCTTGTAAGGGTGAGAAGGAAATATGTTGATCTTCAATAGTATAACATCTCATTAAGAACCTAGCATATTTTACATGTTATGTTTAGATATACAAACATACTATTTCAGTGTTCCTAGTTATTCTTGTATTTTGTCATCGAGGCTATACATCACACTAGATTTTAACTATATATATGACCGCCATGTGCATTAAATATAGGGTGAGATAATATTGAAATTATCATTTAACTTTAAAGTACAAGAATATTCATTAGTACTTAATATGTTCTCTACATCATCAATCTAAAACTAAAGAATTTGCCAGACATTGAAGAATAAATAAGAAAACTAATTTTTATAGAAATCACAGAAGAATAAAAATACAAGAAAATGATATCACCATGAAGGATCAATATGTCTCCTTTATACTCCTTCCTTAATGTATAGAGTTTCTTAAATAAACACTGACTAAAAACACTCTAATGATTGTATCTAGTACTTCCCTAGTCTCTCTTAGATTTGACTCTTAGAGATACTAATTATGTACTCTCAAAAGTACTGAAATTATACTAGGGACTAAACTCTCTTGTAAACGTAATATAATGACTATTTATAGAAAATATAAATTAGTCAAAAAACACTATAATGCTTGAAAGATTAGCGTTAATGCACTAAAAAAATGAACTAATAACACTGTGCTAATATCTTTCCTTCATCACGGCACCTATTGATGTGGATTGGTTACTTAGTATGCAATCACATTATTTTACTAACATATTGTCTTTGGAAGTTGCAACTGCCATGCCATGGTGCTATTGATTTTTTAATGTTCCGGTGCCAAAGTGGTATTTTTGGCATTGAGGCATGATAGATTGTGACATCGCGGCTCTTATAATCAATGAATATGGCACTACAAAGCTAACAATTTTTATGTCTTGGTGTTGTCCAACCAAGATGTTAGCACGGCCTTGTCAAAGTTGTAGCACTTTAATGGTGCATTTGATGGCGTTGTGGGGCATTTATTTTGTTTAACGTTGTAGTGTTGGATGATACTTTGAATTTGGAGCCTTTGTATTTTTTCTGCATAATATAATTAAAATAACATATTTTTATTAAAAATATAACACATAAAATTATATATTAATTATAATTATCAAATTATTTCCTAAATAGCTTTTTATCATGCCATTTTAACCTTATTTTTGTAAATTTTTGCATTTTCATAAGCTTCATTTCTATTTTCTTCCAGTTCACTTAATTGCATTAATCTTTTCTCTTTTTCCATTTTAAAATTATAATTCAATTCTTTAACTAGTTAGAATGCTTTATGTTCTAATTTCACAGGAAGGTGATAAGCCTTTTCATAATTTAATATATATTTAGTCATATAAATAGGAGTCTTATAAGCAAATCTATAGGCCCATAATATATCATCTAACTTAATCTTCTGATCTTTTCTATTTGAATTGAACATTTTTTCTAGGATTCTCTTAATCTCCCTATTTCTAACACTACAAGAAAATGCGCTATTACTGGCTGATGGAATCCCCCCAGTAACAATGAAAATATGCTAGAAATTTGAGCTTTCTAGCACATTTTTGACGAAAAGAAATATGTGGTAGCCAACAAAAATCTTTGTGTCTTTAAAAACATACAATAAATAATATATATTTTTGTTAGCTTATGTAAATAAGATATAATACATAACATATTTATGTAATAACTAATTTCAAACTCTCTAAACCACATG